CCAGAATTAAATGAAGGAGAAAAACTTCATATATTGGTAACACATGATGAAACTACCTTTCAATCAAATGATGGATTGAAATCTGGGTGGATGTCTGAAGGAGAACAACCTTTGAGGAAAAAAGGACAAGGCAGATCAATCTATGTAAGTGAATTTGTTACCAACACAATTGGAAGATTAAAACTGAATCAACAACAGGTTTATGAGTTTGTAGAGTCAGTTCCTCATGAGGCAAGGGTAATGATGAATCCAGGAAAAAATTTTGATGGATGGTGGAATGTTGAAAAATTAATTGATCAAGTAATGTTTCAATTTAACTGAAATCTTACTAAATTGAAAAAAAAGTTAAAGATATTTTTATTATAGATAATTAAACAATTGCTAAAGATGTATTTCCTAGTATAGGAGTTGAAAATGAGACAGCAATCAGGTGAGAAGAAGAATATTTTTTTTGTAAACTATTCTTAATTAACAAAAAAATTTTTTTTTAAGTTTATCAACAGCAAACAGGTGGTTGAAGAAAATGGGCTATGTATATGACAAATATAAAAAAGGTCTTTATTTTGATGGACATGAAAGAAGTGATGTGGTTGAATATAGAAGTAAATTTTTAGAGGAAATAGAGTTGTGAGTTATGAATTTATTATAATGATTATCATCTAAAAACATAATTAATCAATGCTTTGATTTTAATATAGATATCAGAAATTAATGCCAGCATTTACAGGTGATAATCTTGAAATCCAGAATTAAATGAAGAAGAAAAACTTCATATATTGGTAACACATGATGAAACTAACTTTCAATCAAATGATGTATTGAAATCTGGGTGGATGCCTGAAGGAGAACAACCTTTGAGGAAAAAAGGACAAGGCAGATCAATCCATGTAAGTGAATTTGTTACTAACACAATTGGAGAATTAAAACTAATCAACAACAGGTTTATGAGTTTGGAGAGTCAGTTCCTCATGAGGCAAGGGTAATGATGAATCCAGGAAAAAATTTTGATGGATGGTAGAATGTTGAAAAATTAATTGATCAAGTAATGTTTCAATTTAACTGAAATCTTACCAAATTGAAAAAAAAGAAAGATATTTTTATTATAGATAATTAAACATGCAATTCCAATATTTGAAGCCACTCACCCAGGTGCAGTTGCAGTTTTTGCCTTTGACAATTCTTCAAGCCATGCCAAAATTGCAGACAATGCTTTAAATGTAAATAATATGAATTTAAATCCTGGCGGGAAAAAACCTAAACTGCAAGACACAATCTTTAATGGAAAAATTCAAACAATGAATTTTCCTGATGACTTTCATGATCCTAAATTATGTGGAAAACCCAAAGGAATAAAATTAATTTTGGAAGAATGTGGATTATGGTCAAAAGAAGGGTTAATATTAACTTGCAATAATAATAATATTGAAGAAATTACAAACTATCCAGATTGTTGTGCAAGACATAAATTAGGAGCACAACCAGATTTTGTAGCCCAAATACCTTTAATACAGGAAATCATTGAAGCACATGGCCATAAGGTGATGTTCTATCCAAAATACCATTGTGAATTAAATTACATTGAGATGTATTGGGGTGCAGCAAAGAGGTATGCAAGAGAAAACTGCAACTATACCTGGAAAGGTCTGGAGAAAACTGTTCCTTTGGCATTAGACTCTGTTTCTTTAAATTCAATTCGTAAATTTGAAAGGAAGTCAGCTCGTTATATGGATTGTTATAGAAAAGGCTTGAATATGAAACAAGCTGAGTATGCTGTAAAAAAATACAAGTCTCATAGAAAAATACCAGACTCAATCTTGACAGAAATAGATATTTAATTCATTAATATAACTTTTTAAAAAAAATAAAAAATAAATTTTTATCATGTGCAAACTTCATGATAATTTGGCCCCTCTATATAAAAATGTATGTATTATTGTGGCACACATTGTACTATATATGAATTTTTAAAACATAAAATTCATTAAACCGTGATTAGTAATTTTAGTATAATGCAATTTCTTGTACATATATTCCAGAACCTAAAAAGCATTGTTCTCATTTTAAATTTTTGGAATTTTTTAGTGTCATAAAACTATTTATGATAATTCAAATGTTCTAAACTTATACAAATTATTATAGTTTATTATTGCTTCGATTATTTTCGGTGGTTTGCAAAATCGTGATTTTATAAAAAAATAATATTAAATTGAGTTGGCTCAAGCTTGAGCCGAGTTCGAGCTAGCACTTTTCTATATGCGAGCTGGCTCGAACTCGAGTTGAGCTCAAACTAAGCATAAATTCGGTTCAGCTTGTTCGGAGCTTTAAAAAAAAGATTTGGTAAAAAAGAATTAGTATGAGTTGGTTTGACTTGCTTAGGTTTTATTTCAATTATTTGTTCTTGTTTCTTTTTAAGTGAATTTTCTCACTTATCTTTTTTGTAAAGTGTAGTAGTTTATTCTTTTTCCTTGGTAATGCTTGTAAAGACTTGTTGGCTAAATATAATTCTTGTTTTAATTGCTGAATTTGTTTGATTTCATCTGGTGAAAGTGTGTCAGCCTTCTTTGTAGAAATCTTACCCTGTTTCTTAAGATCACATAGCTTTCCATTTAAAGTTTTATATAAGTCTGGATAATTTTGCTTGCATGCATTTCATTTAAGGTAATTTGATCTTTAATTACACTGTGACTTTTCAAATGTCTATCAATTGCAGCCATACAATTTTTCAATGACAAATATTCTTCGCCATCACCTCTTTGCACACCAACAACAAATTCACATAATTGTTTTTCTAATATTTTTTTGTCATTCAATTGGAATTCAATTATGATGTTTTTCTCTATAGTTAGTTAAAACCTTAACCCAGAATTCAGTATTTTTTTTCGTAGTTAATGGTATACCGGCTTCTTGAATGTCTTTTATTTGTTGATCGGTTGGAAGAAATGACATGTCAAAGTTGGGTGGTATTTGTTTCTATGGTACAACAGACAAGAATTTTAGTTTTACAATTTGACTATACAACAAATATTTATTTACTTACTCATGTTGCTTTTGGCGTTTTTATGAATGGAACAATAAAATTTAGGATTTGAAAAATTATTTAATAATGATAAAAAAGAATGTGCATTTTAAGC